TCGACCCCGCACAACATGATCTACTCGACCACCATTATGGTTACCGCCAAAAAAAAACCGGAGGTAAAAAAAAAACGGTAACCTGGTTGCCGAGTTCACGAAGTGAATTGGCTTGTTTTACAACGTCTTTGCCAAGCGACGAAAACCCAATCCCGATGGCAAACACCGGGGGGGGCGGCTTGTTTTACAACGTCGTTGCCAAGCAACGAAAACCCAACCCCGATGGCAAACAACGGGTGCCGGGGGTAGGGGGGGTGCATACGGCTCTCAGCCAGCCATCCTGCGAGCGTGCGGAATTTAGTCTGGAAGCCAGGGCTTTGCAACACCCGCTCCTGGATTATCAGAGCATACTGCTGGTAGTTTGAGGGAAACAAAGTCCCTCGACGTTGGATGCAACACTCTTGTTTGATGTGTGCAGCACATCTAACACTCAAAGCGTCGTTGGCTTCGAAGCATAAATCGAAACGAGACGGCCCCAGCGGGAACGTTCATCGGCCAGGCACCGCTGCGATGTCTTGTGGGCTGGGGTGTACCCATGTTTTTGCCCGCCTTGGCGATTGGAACATAATTTACGCGTCCTCGACAGAAGACGGAGCATTGTTTCAGCAGGACCGGTCACCGATGGCAAATTATTCCTTCCGACTCTTCCAAAGGTGGCTCTTGTCGTTGGNGGGGGGGGGGGGGGGGGGGGGGGGGGGGGGGGGGGGGGGGGGGGGGGGGGGGGGGGGTTGCCCTCGCCGAACACCCTACCACCCGCCTGCCTCGGGATTCTGACGGTAAACGCACGCAGCAGTACGGAGCCAATAAACAGTGATGGTACGGCAGCACGGGGGGAGCGGTACTCATGACATCCAACTCAGATAAACGTAGCAGAGAATTTTTTTTGTGCCGTGGAATAAAAAGGGGGGCAGGCAGGCCCAAACAAGTACACCCAAGTCCGTAGGAAGCATCTCGTCGTTTTCGTGGCGGTGTACGCATGCATGCAGCCTGAGTCTGGTTTGTTCTCTCGTACAGTAACGATGAGCCACCGCCCTTTTGGTAAACGGGGATGCCCAACCAACCCACGGAATATCTGGTTTGGCAAAGCACAAGCAAGGAGGATGACCAGCCTCTGGTTCATCCTTGTGAAGCATAACCCGGGCCGGCGAGAACCCGGCATGTCGCTCCGTCCCAGCATTTTGGGGCTGCGAGGTCAATGCCCTAGCGACTACGGAAGGCGTTTTTCATGAGTACACCCCTCCCCTTGCTGACACCGCTACGGCATGAACCGCGTTGCTCGACGACACCACCAGGCGGAGACAATGGCGGGACGGCGGCGGCGGGGCCAGGAGCTGTTCGTCTATGGTGCGGATGATGGGCTCGTCGCTAGAGACTGGGCTGGGCGACATCTTCAAAGAACCCGATGAGAGAATTCTGAAGGCCGTCGAGAAGGCGGGGAACAGGTGCTATCAGCCCCCCCCCGGCACCGCGTGCTTTGGCAAAGTAGGAAGGAGCAGTTGGCCGTCGGTGATCGTTCCTGTGGGAACAACGCTCCGTCCCCTTGAGGACGCGTGGTCAATCGTCTCACTACTAGGCCATTCGAAATATGAGTGCGCCACCCGCTCCACACCGCAAGCAACGAGCGTCCGAATATTGTGCTTGTTTTCTGACCATGGTAGAAAATGTTGGAATTGTGTCGATCGGAGTAGTAGGTAGGAATGATAATCCTCTGATGTGTGGTCGGCTGAAAGCACAGGTACAAGGCGGGAATACCACGACGACGACAGCAATTGCCAGCTTGCATTTCTCCTCCAGATTAACTCTCTGTTGAACGTTTGCCCACGGAAAAAATGGGTCTGTTGAAACTGACTCTTTTGGACCGAACAGTCGAAGTTTGCCGGCGGCGAAAATGGATCTGTTGAAACGAACTTTTGTGTTGGAATCATTGTCGAAGTTGTCCGCCGAAGGTGGGTCTGTTGAATCGAGTTCTTGTGCGGGAATCAATGTTCAAGTACTCCTTCGAAAGTTGGGTCTGTTAGAAATTGAACTCTTGTGTTGGCATTATCGTGGAAGGCGTCCGGCGAAACTTGGCCCGTTGAATACGAGCTCTAACGTTGTCAGAAACGTTTGTTGAAAACCGGACCAACTCTAGGGCTGTGCCCTCGGACGTGGCCGCTCTGGCCGGCGTGGATCTGAACGTGGCCAAGAGGGGTCTGGTGAACCTCGCCAACATCGTAGGGGGAGACCTTGAGGTCTCCAAGGACGGTGAGTGAGATGCACCAAAGGTTTACGTTGGTGTTGGCGTTGGACCTTGTGCATGACAATCGAAAAATCCCGCGGCATGCTTGAAAGATTCCCCTGCTTGCGTCCACGCGTTTTGCGAACTGGTGGTTGATGAATGCTGCACGCCCTAACAGAGTAAACCCGACGTCTCTCAACAGTATAGCCGGTGTTGGTGTTGTGTATGGGGAGAGCATGGAGATGCACCTAAGGTTTTTTGCGTTCTCGTTGGTTGTGGTGCTGTGTAACGGGGCGGGCGATGAGATGCCACCAAGTCTTTCGTTCCTGTTGCTGTCGAGAAACGGTGTCGGCTGTCGTGTTTGTTGTGGTTGTCTTCGCGCACCGAAAGTATGCACACCCTGCTAGCATACGCGTCAAGTTCGTATCTCTTTTGTTGTTGTTTGATGGTGGTAGTCGGGGTGTTGCGGTTGTCTTCACATTAGAAAATATACCGCGTACCTTGGTAACAGCCAGACACACGCTAAGTCATACGCAAGTTCATATGCTTGATACCGTTGGTGTTTTCGGTTTTGGATGTTGTTGTGGTTGTCTCTCGCGTGCGAAACGGCACCAAGTGGTAACACCCTGCTGTCATCATTCCTGGGTCATCTCACGCAGACACCCGCTATCGTGTGCCCTCGTTCGTGAGTGCTTAGATTTGAAGGCCGCAGAGTCCCTTCTCTTTTAAGTTCCCAAAGCAATGCCCCGACCTTGCGCTTCCAGCCGGCACGTCGAATCGGGGTCGTGTGACACGACCTGTCATCCGGCCTTCCATGTGCAACGAGTACCGTACGTTTGCACGAAGCGTCCACGCTCCCGGACCGATTTTCGATGTTCGACTACGTTCAACTCCATGACGAGGAGGATGCCAAAATCAAACGGATTACACTTCCGGAAATTTCTCGACGAGACGGTTCCAACGCCGTCACTTTCGGCTCGGTCACTGCTTTTGCTGCAGCGAAATCGAGCTTTGATGATGGGTCCAGCGGGTGTCGTGTCTTGTGCAAACCTATGGTAGTTAGTGCCCACATTCTTTTAGGGTGGTACCTCTTGCCTACGGAGCAGTTTTGAGCTGAAGAAATTCTTGCTCGCACCTCCTCAAACTAGCCATTGGAGATATAGACGTTCTTGTTCACGCCCCCTCCCACTAGCCCTTGGAGACATAGGAGTTCTTTCTAGCAGCCCCCCCCCAACTAGCCGTCGGAGATATCAAATTTCTTGCTAACAGCCTCTCCCACGACTGGAGATTCAAAGGTTCTCGCTCACAGCCCCCCCCCCCCCCCCCCCCCCCCCCCCCCCCCCCCCCCCCCCCCCCCCCCCCCCCCCCCCCCCCCCCCCCCCCCCCCCCCCCCCCCNCCCCCCCCCCCCCCCCCCCCCGACAACGGACGCTTGCACTCCTACTACGGCAGGAGACGTTGTGTACAACTTCCCCTCCAACTTTCGGGCCTCCCTTCTCTCCAAGTCTGCGTACCGCCGCGGCGTGGAGGCGGTCCGAGCCGCGTGGCCCGTCATCTTCTACGGCATCCGGGTGTCGTTCGGGGTGGTGCTGCTGGCCTCCATCGCCCTCATCTTCAGCACGATCTTCTTCGCGGCGACCTACGCGAACTCCAGCAGCGACGACAAGTAGGCGACATGCGAATACGGAACACGGCACCCACTTGAGAGAACCCCCTTATTTTTGGCCAAGACTCGTTCCTATTATCTTGTGTATGAGGTAGAGACTAATGGACTGTACCCCCACGGCGACGTCGTGAAGGCTGGTAGGAGTTGAAAAGTTTCCTGAAGTGGTGTGTGTCAACAGAGTGTAGGCTTCTTGACTGGTCAACCTGCCCGTACGGCCATTTGCTTAGATTTAAGGTTTTTTTTTTAGGCTAAAGTTGTTCATTGAGGGCTAAGTTCTTTGGTTGCAACGCGTTCTGTGCCGTACGAGCTCACGTAAAGGTATCACACACGTCATTGGCCGGTTGTCAAAGCTCCGTTTCTCTTCATCATTAAAAACAGTGGCATGCGGTCCATACAGGAGGTCGCATTAGACCCCATCGGCTCGTTTTTTAAAGCTCCTTTACTCTGCATCATCCAAAACAGCAGTGTGCCGAAAATGCCGGTAGACCTTGAAACCGTCTCGTTTCGAGGCTACCGGAAACGTACGTCTTTTGCTTTGTACATCCTCTCCGTCGTGGAGTAGTGGGGCTGTGAAAATCGATCCAAGCGGTGTGGTATATTACGGATGCGACGTAGTGTACGGTTGGGGCGGGAGCGGGGCGTGATTGGTTTGTGGCACGAAGAAGAAGAAGCGANGGGGGGGGGGGGGGGGGGGGGGGGGGGGGGGGGGGGGGGGGGGGGCTAGAATCGTGTCGAGCGTCCACCGGGTCCGGCTCTTTTCGGCGTGGTATAATTTCAGCGATTCATGCCACCACCAAGACAATAATCTCTTGTCACCATGGACCTCTCTTGGGCACCGACCAACAGCAGTGGCCTTGATGATCCTCCTGCCCTCACCGAACCCGAACCGAAAATATCCCACAAGAAGACCGTCCTACCTTTATCTTTTCCAACGTCGACCTCATCTCCCCCTTTGTCGTTGTGAACAAAAGCCGCGACCGGAGACGCAGCGGCGGCGGCTTTGACGGTGGCTACGGCGGGAGGGGCCTCGGATTCAACACGTACTTCGGCCCTTCGCCGTTCGACTTCTTCTACTACCGGCCGTACTACGGATACTACGGGACCCCGGTCGGGCAGGGTGGGCAGAGGGGAGACCCCGAAGAAATGGGGTAAGGATAAGGGTATCCTCTCTTGCTGTGTCTTGCTCGGGATGAGGATGTCTTGTATTGCTGCAAGAATTGCTGTTGTTGCTATTGTTAACTTGCGAAGAATAATGATGGCTTGTATTGCTGCAAGAATTGCTGTTGTTGCTGACGTTTCGCGGTCCCCAAGATGGAAGCGAGTTTTTTGCCCCCCAGGATGTACAGTGAGTCCTCGTCCGCAACAATATCCCCCAAATACACGAGAGGGAGAGGCAGGCTATGTGTGTTTTTCTGCTTTCTCGTTAGCACTCGGCCGGAAGGCTCGTGTTGGGGTCGGAATTTTGAGGTGGCTGGTGAACCCCCCTCCTTGCTGGAGGCCTAAAAAACTTTCCGGACGTTTCTCACCGCCCCACCGCCTTCTCCCATCGATCACATCAGATCAAATCAGATCACATCAGATCACACCGCTGCGGACCGATGCTTTCCGATCGATCACATCAGATCGCATCCGACCGACCCATTGCGAATCTAATCCGTGCTCAGTGAATGTTCTGCTGGCCGAGGCCTGCCAGCAGTTGCACCATCCATGCCCCCTGGACGCGCCCCCCTCAACTCTTCCCCCGCCCCCCGCACCTTTGTAAAGATTTGCTCGAATCGCACGTGTTCTCTCTCTCTCTCTCTCTCTCCCCCTCTCTACATGACATTGTTAGGGGCCACGTCGTTTCACTTGTTCCGACAAGACCTCTGAAATTCCTGCTGAACGCCCACGCTCCTTCCTTGACTTGCTTGTCCAGAGTTCTGGAGCCCGTCCTTTTTCCCTTTCGCTAAGAACCGTCGAAACCGCTGCTCAACCCCCATGCCTCCTTTGCTTTGCTTGTCCAGGATCCTGGAATCCATCTTCTCGTTTATTTTCGGGGACGGTGACCCTAACGCGGACATGGACCAGCGGAGGGTGGAGGCTGCGGCGACGGTGAGGGGTGGTGATGAAGCAAGGGGGGTGTATTGTATGTGTGGATGTCGAAAAAGAAGGGGGGTGGGGGGGGTGTGAGTGCAAAATGTGAGGGTAGTTCGTTTCGTCCGCGTGGTTGTCGTTGTCGTTGTGGTGGTTAGTGGTTGTTGTTGCTGATGTTGTTGTTGCCACTGCTGCTGCTGCTGCTGCTGCTGCTGCTGCTGCTGCTGCTGCTGCTGCTGCTGCTGCCTTTTTCGTTTTCTTCTGCTTCTCGCTGTTCTCGTCTGCCTCTCGTTTTGTTCCGGAAAAAAATAAAAAGATGTAACCAACCTCGGTTCGGTTTCAAATCACCACCACCACCACCACCACCGCTGACGTGTGTGTGTGTGTGTGTACGATTGTAGCTCATCCGTGGCAATGGGGGAGCGGTGTCCGCCGAGCAGCTGGCGCCCCTCCTTACTCCGGAGACCCTTCGATCGTCGGACAGCAGCGTGGTGGACGAGTCTTTCGTGCTGCCGATACTGACCGCGCTAGACGGGGCTNGGGGGGGGGGGGGGGGGGTACTTTGTAATGCCTTAGCTTGTAGGCCACTGACTCGAGAGGACGGAGCGATGGGGGGCGTACTCGCGTTTTTGCATGCCTTAGCTGTTTGACCATCCACCAAGAAGAGGGTGGGGTGGGGTGGGTACTCATGACACATCATTGTTGTCGTGCTTGTTACAAGGTCAATAATCCCAAGTTATGTTGGTAGACGCGTTTATTTCGTGAGCATGTGCGGCGTTGTTTTCACGTCCAGGTTACGGCGGACGGGGACATCGTCTACGTCTTCCCCTCCCTGCAAACTTCGGCAATGGGCACCGGCACGGCCGCGACTCAGATCGGGAGCAAGGAAAACGCGAGACTGGCCGGCCTGAAGGTGAGGCCTAGGTGACGGACGAGTTCCATGGTGCCGGTTGGGTAGCCTGCTCAGCAGCGTGTCTGGACTGTAGTTTGGGTGTTGCCGAGACTTGTTTGTGCTGTCGCTGTCGCTGTCGCTGTTGCTGGGACTGTTGTTGCTGTTGTTGTTCAGTTCGGCATGAAACGCTGGACCTCAGATGTAGTTCGCATTGCTCATGTTCCTTGCTGGACGGTGTTGTTGTTCTCGTGTTGTTAGTTGTTTTCCTTTTTTTTGTTTCTCTTTTCTGTGATGTTTCTCTCTTGCCTTAATCGTTCTGTGAGGCATCGAACAAAGACCAATCGAGGAGCGAAAACGACTACGATATTCCTCCTGCTGGGAGAGAGAGGCTGTTGTAACTTCTTTGAGATCGAGGGCACTACACACCTCACAGCAATATCCGTCCTTCTCCTTTTTTCACTCTCGCCCCCCCTTTGCCCCCACCCGCGCCCGTATCCCTTGTGCCTTTGAAATACTCTCTACGCTTTTGTAGTCTCTGTCGACGGCAAACTCTTCGGTTTTCTTACCCCTACCCCCGCCGTTCGCTTCTTTCCCTCCAACATTCTCTTCCCCAAATAGTCGCTGTCCACTGCCGACCTCCGGGTTGCTCTGGAGGCGGTGGGAGTGCGGGCTATGTCCATGTTTGAGCGGTCGGAGCTGATCGATGAGGCCATGGCGGTGAGGGTCATGACGTTTGTCGTGCGGTCGCCTTCTGTTGGTTTTTCCCACGTTGCCCACTCTAATCCCCTCCCACTCAGAAGGCGTTTGGTGGCTTCGGGGGCTTCGGTCCCTGCCGTGCGATTCGCATGTATGTGCCCATTTTCAGAGGGAAACGACGCAATAAAGCCCAGGAGGACACGTCCAACAGTCGAAAAATATTACTGTTAGTACCACTGTACAGGAGTCCTACTCTTACGGTGGCTTTCTCGCGTGCCTCTTGACAGGCCGGCATCGCCAAGCTCGACAACGGGAACATCGTCCTGGAGCCCCGCACGAGCCGGGGTTCGTCATCGTCATCTGGGGGCGGCCGGGGGGTTGTTATCCCAGAGCCCCTCATGGTGCGTGGTGTTTTGGCCGAACCGAAGCGTCAAGGAGGTGATAGTGTAAGGCTTCACGTGATGACAAATGAAAGTCATTGTTTTTTCCGTAAGAGAGAGAGGCAAACGAGAGCCCCAATATATAGGATCCCGTGTGCCATCCAAACAACAAATGTACACCGTACAAGATACCATACTGCGGAGCCCCTATTATCGGTAGACCTATGTAAACACTTGCCATGACCAAAAATCCCCGGGTCGGGGCTCGGGGCTGCTAAAGGGAGATCTATGCCACTGCTTTATTCCGGCACATTCGATCACAGAAGCAAGCCGGGCCAACTCTTGTTGCTGAGATTTCTCCCCTCTCCATCAGGAAGAGACGAAGCCGTTCAGCGTGGCAGCGGGGTGGAAGAAGTTCGCGGCGGGTGTTCTCGGCGCGGTGAACCTCGGGGGAGCGTTGTACCTGCAGCAGCTGCTGTCCGGACCGGCCTTCGCCGGGGTGACTCTACCGGGGTACTACGGCTTCGTGCAGGCAAGTTTGTTGCTGTTGCTGGTTTTGCTGCTGTTGCAGCTGCTCTAGCTGCTGCTGCTGCTGCTGCTGCTCTTGTGTTGAGGTGGTGGTTGTTTTTGCTGCTGTTGCTGTTGTGTGGCCGTGATACTGCCGGTCCCTCTGAATAGCTCTGGGCGATTCGCCGGGCACAAACCGGTACCACAGAGCCCCCCCCGACTGTATTCACTTGTCTCGGAAACCGACGTCGTGTTCATCAACAGCAGCCATGAATGGAATATTATTGGTACTGTACGTGCTTATCCCGCAAGCCCGTGGCGCGTTCCCCTAAACAACATAACAGGGGGCGCTGCCATTCCTGCTCACGTACGCGGTGGCCCTGAACGTCATCCCGGCGGTGCGGTTTGTGCTCAACAAGAGGGAGAACGCCAAAATAGAGGGCCGGAACTTCTTGA